GAAGGTAAAGAGTTGACAGAAAATGTTAAGGCTTCATGACCTTGTCACAACATATGCATAAACAAAGCTTGCTTTATGATTCAACTGGGACACTGTATCAGTCCCATAGTTACGAGTGTCTTTTGGAAGGGAAGATAGAACCAGATCCAAAAGAGACTCTTTGTCAATGCCTTCAAGGTAAGAGTGGAGCACTTCTATTTCTTTCTGAATTGGCTGGCATCTTCTGAGACATGCCCGTTCCCTGGAAGGCATAGGAAAATTAAAAGATAAATTCTCTGCCAAATACAAACACAACACAATAGAAACTTAGATAAAAAATTTCTTCACTGATTTGAGTTGGACGAGATTTATGCGCAAAACCCCTCCAAACAGAAACTTAGATCAAATATTCAGCATGAACAAAACACAAAATGGATGGATTTCCAAGAACAATTATTCAAAAATTAGTTTAAACATTTAGCGTTCAGCATACCTAAATTGGGTACTCCAAGTTCGTTAACAGAAAATGTCTAGCAAACTGAGTTTTCAAGAGTGAAAGTTGGGTCTTCGTCGGTGAGGGGTTCATTGACGACGGTCGTCAAGCGTTCGCCGTTGGGCTATTATGATTTGCTGGTTTGACGTTGGGTTGTTATGATTCAAATGACATAGGGATGGGAGTGAGTTCACCAAATGCTTTCGGTCTTCGTCATCGACGACCTTCGTCACGGTGGTCGTCGATTGGCTAAGCTCTGGTTCAATGAGTGAGAAAGGGGAAAGGGTTTCACATGTTTGGGCCTAATGTGAGAAAGATATGAATGTGAGTTTCAAATTGTCTAGTTTGGTTTTCTTCTTCTTCTTTTTTCATTTTTTTTTTAATTTCCATCCATGAGTCCAATTATACCTAACATGTCATAGTTCTTGTACAATTTGGAGTGAAGTCATGTCCAATTTATTGAAAGACATATAAGGGATTCAAATTAATAAGAGGAGGCAAAATTGTCCAGAATTGACAATTTTGCAATTGCTTTTAAAAAGTGACATTTTTGTAAATGACAACCCAAATTATGACATCCAGTGTAATTTCCACTTATTTATTAAGAGAAGTACATCAAATTTCTAAAATGATGTTGAAATTAGTATTTGTAATGTCATACTGAGAGTTATTAATATTCTTTTAAGATATTAGCCTAAGTCGTGATTCTTCGTGAGCAACAACAAATTATTATTAAAATATTAAATTATACGAAGATATCCTTTTCATGAGTAAAAGAATAATATTTTTTTATAAATGTTATCTTTTATAAAATTATGATTTTTGGGAGCAAATAATGTTCAACTAAAAAATTAACATCATATACAATTCTACTTATTTAAGAAACACAGTAATTTTTAATATTCTTTTAGAATATGTATGAAAAGGCGTTCTTTTGAAAGCGATAATAAAATAATCTTTTCAAATATGTTTGTGTTTTTTTTTTTTTCCAAAACCTACAATGTAATATTTTTCTAAAATATTAAAAGAATTGTAAAATTATGTTTTTCCAAGAACAACACTGTACATATTATGAATATTAAAAACTTAACATGTATAAAGTTGTTCTTCAGGAACAATACAAAATTTTCTAAACCGAAGTATTGACATTGTTTAAATTGTGGTTCTTTAATAACGTAAGACTTATTTATTGAAAATATAAAAATGTACTTTATTAGAGAATAATGACACATTATTCTTTTGGAATATTGATGCATTAAAAGTTATATTTCATCAAGAGCAATAATAAAATATTCCTATAGAATATCAATATTTAAAAATTATGCTTTTCAAAAGTAACTTCGTAATATTCTTTTCATTTGTGACATATATAAAAGATTACTTCTTCACGAGTTACAAAATAATATTATTCCAGAATATTGATACTTATAATTAAATTGTATGAATTAGTTCTGTTACCTCTTATGCCTAGAGGTTATTTACCTCAAATTGGGGTTATAGTACATCGCATAGCTTCACCTCGTCCATGAACGGAATGCATTATATCAACTACTGAAGAGACCCAGATTGGTCAGGTAGGTAAAGTGACGTGAAGTGCGAGTTTGAGTTCGCATATTATGTGGCTGTTACGCGGTCATGCCCGGGCCCGCTGGATGAGACGTAACAATAGTCCACTAAGTCCAGGTATGGATATTCAAACAATGCATGGACATTTTAGGTCGAGGCGTGTTATGTCATTAAAGAAGTGGTGCTTAGGCGTTGATTAGAACTCAACCTAGTATGCTTTTTACAATTTTAATTTTTTTTTATCGATAAATGTAAATATGATTGATCAAAAATGTTCCATCTACAAGTACACCGGGCATTCGCGGGCAATTAAAAGTCCATTAACACATACAATTATTCTGGGTATACCCAGGAAATACAGAACAAGTGAAGTGCATAAAAAGTCAATGACCCAATGCTAAAGACTCGAAATGGATCAAGACATCCGGATACGAAGTGAACATAACTTTGTATACGTGTGTCTTGATCCGTCTTACAATGAAATCCAAGTTGGCTGAAAGATCTTCAAAAATCTTCCTATTCCGTGTTAACCAAATATTAAATACAGTGCTAGCAAGAGCAATTTTCTTCGCCTTACTTAGCCATGACATCCCACAGGCCTCCTTTTTCAACCACTTTAGAGCACTAGCAAGTGTTGTCATAGATCTCTTGATGTTGAGTCATCGCCTAACATTCCCCCATAATGTAGATGTGAAGGAACATTTAAAGAAAAGATGGTCGCAAGTTTTTGCCAAATAGCCACAAAATACACAATTACGGTCAATATCCAAGAATTGCAATTTTTCTTTAGTTGGGAGTTTAGATTGAACCCCTAACCAAAGCAAAAAAGAATGTTTCTGAGTGATGCACGATTTCCAAACTTCAGCTCCCCATGTCTTGAATGTACCCTTAGGCCTAAAGAAATTATAGGCTATTTTTGTGCTGAATTTATCCTCAGCCGAACAACCCAAAAATTGCTCAAAAAAACTCAGAAACTGCCTGCCAAATCGAATTGTTTGCCGGTCTCTATAACTATCCAGATTCTGCCCAGCTTGGCCCATGTTTTGTGCATGCCTAGCAAGGTAATTTGGGGCTAAACCAGCATGCCGAGAAAGGATAATGCCAACGTCCATCTGACACGATGCCCCAGGCTGTCCATTAGTTAAAATCTGTTGGCCAGCACCTTTTTCATGCAAAATGTCTCTGATTTTCAGTAGTTTCTTGAAGAGTGGAGAATGATATTTCCTAGGACGAACCTCCCAAATGCAAGTCCCATTAAGGTATACTTGATGAACCCACTGAATCCATAGAGTGTCCATTTTATGTTGAATGTTCCAAAGGGATTTAGCAAGTAACGCTAAATTCCAACTCTTGAAGTCCTTTAATCCAAGGCCCCCTTCCTCTTTTGGAAGGCAAAGATCCTTCCACGCAACCAAAGGCTTCTTTGATCCCCAAAGGAATTTCTGACAAAGGCTAACAATCTTTGATATAATTGTAGTTGGGATGGGGAAGATCGAAAGTCAAAAATATTTGACTCCTTGAAGCACCGCCCTAATGAGTTCCACTTTGCCGGCATAAGATAAGGATGAGCAATTTCAAGCTCCAATATAAGCCACAATTTTTTCAAGGAGAGGAGCATAAGAACTCACTTTGAGCTTCTCCTAGGCAAGAGGAATACCTAAGTAACAAAAAGGCATAGTCCCCTTCGAAAAATTTGAGATTTTCATGATTCTTTCAAACTCATACCCATAAATTCCAGCTGTGTATAAGCTGGATTTCAAAGTGTTGATCTTCAAACCCGACGTTAAACAAAACTTGTCAAGGCAATTCATGATAATTTCCACAAACATAGCATCTCCCCTTGCAAAGAGCATCAAGTCATCCGCAAAGGCCAAATGAATTATCTTAAGGAGACCACATTTCGGGTGATAATTAAATTCACTATCATTTGTAGCATCCTTGATCATTCTAGAAAAATATTCAAGACAAAGCACAAACAAAAAAGGGGAAAGTGGATTACCTTGCCGAAGACCTTTCCCGCCTTTGAAGAATCCATGCATACTCCCATTCAAAGCAACGGAATATGTTGGAGTAGTAACACATTCCATAATCCATTGAACAAATCTCAAAGGAAAATTCAACCCTTCAAGTACACTTTTGAGAAAGTCCCAACTAATCGAGTCATAAGCTTTCCTTAAATCAATTTTAAGGAGGCATCTTGGAGCTACCCTCTTCCTATTGTATTGTCTCATGAGTTCCTAAGTAAGATGAATATTTTCTGTCATGCTCTTACCTTCAATGAAAGCGGCTTGTGCTTGGTCCACAATGTCTCCCAAGATAGGCCTCAATCTAGATGCAAGGATTTTTGTGATCACTTTATTGATCACATTACAACAAGATATCGATCTATAATCCTCAACACTAAGTGCATGAGTAGACTTTGACACCAAATCAATGACCGCATGATTGATTTACGTAAGGATGGATCCCGATAAAAGAATTCCATAATAGTCTCCACAAAATCATGTTCAATACACCCCCATGCGCTTTTGAAAAAACATGAAGTGTACCCATTCGGTCCGGGAGATTTATCATCTCCAATCCCAAAAAGAGCCTCTTTGATCTCCTCAATAGAAATGTCCCGAACCAATGCATTTCCTTGTTCCAAATATATCAAAGGCCCATTGCAAATAATGTTGTTGTCAATCAGCCGAACGGCCTCATATTTTCCTAGCAAGTTGGTAAAGAAATTTACAAATTCCAAGGCAACTTGGTCTTGTGAAGTGGTATACATCCCGTCCTCCTTAAGAATAGAAGCAATGAAATTCTTCATAGAGTTCCTTTTGACCACCGAGTGAAAAAACTTTGTACATTTCACTTTCCTTAAGGAAGATGCATTTTTCCTTTTGATAATAAAAACTCCGCTCCGCTTCACATAAACCAACGGTCTTCTTTCTCAACTTAGCAACCAAAAGTTGAAAATTCACGCTCTTGGGCTATTATGTAATTGTAATTGGGCAGCCTCCAATTCAATTTTAGCCTCATTTGCCCTAGTCGAAATGTGCCCAAAATGCTTATTATTAAACTCCTTCAAAGCTCCCTTTAGTTTGCTCAATTTCTCGCAAAGGATAAATTGCTTTGTCCCCAACACATTAAAATTCCAACAAGCTTGAATGATATCATGGAAGTCCACATGCTTAGTCCACATGTTGAAAAACTTGAAAGGTTTTTTTTCACCCCCAACACCGTCATGAATGGAAACAATGCAAGGGGAATGATCGGAAAAACAACCAGAGGGTAGAAAATTTGCAACAACATATGCCCTATTTTGCACCCAAATATCATTGACCATTGCCCTATCAATTTTGCTCCAAACCGACCCATTAGTCCATGTGTAATAACAACCAATAGACCGCACATCCATTAGACCCACATGAAGGCAACAATTTATAAGATCCTTGATTTTATAAGGGGTAACATCCGCCCCATTACATTTCTCATCAAATTTAAGAACATTGTTGTAGTCACCAAGAATCAACCACGGTGATGAGACATTAGCGTTGAACTCCATAATGTTATTCCAAAGTGGCCTCCGGTTAACCACAGTATGAAATCCATAAACAAAACTAACAAGAAATGAATAAGATGTTACCTTACAAGTAGCTTTACAATGAATGATTTCTGGATGAACCTCCATCACATCCAAAAATACTTTGGATGGATTCCACAAAATCAAGATCCGTTCAGATCTATGAGTTCCAAAATTATTGACACGCACGAAGCCATTGAACTTATTCCTCAAAATTCTCATCAATTTTCGATCCCCCAACTTTGTTTCCAAAATACGCATAATATCAATGCAATGTTGCTTGATAAATTCACGAATTCCATTTTGTTTAAGAGTTGAATTCATGCCCCTAATATTCCAAAATGTAAGTTTCATGATGTTGAAGCAAGGGATGTACCCTTCTTCTTGCCAACTTTTGTAATCGGTTTTCTTTGCTCAACAACAATACCTTTGAGCTTTTCATTTCCAGAATTTTTTGGTTCTGCTTCATTGACATTTGCTAAAGAATCTGCCATAGAAATAGGTGCCAAAGAACGTGCATTATTCTTTCCATGAGCTGTCCGGTTTTTCTTACTAGCAACCTCCACAAACGGCTCAACCTGATCCAATTTTTCCACTGCTGGGCATCCACATTTTCAAGAATTATCTGCCCAGAATTTGGGTTTGTAAGCTGCCTTTTATGCCCATCCAAAACCGTGGTAAGATGTTCCCCAATCACTTGCTTTTTACAATTTTAGTTTGTGTTCTTATCGTCCTTAATTTACGCTATTCGTCACTTACCAAATTTATCTCACGTAAGGTTTTTGAGTTTACCCAAATTCTTTCTCCAGCTCATGTGAATCGTCTGAATGTTTTTCGTAGTAATTAAACTATGTCCTAAAAGTTTCAGATTCTGGAACTTTCGAAATTTTCCACTGGAACACTTCCATTATTTGTCCTCGTGCTTTGTTTTCAAGCTCATAATGGGCGATTACTTGATTATCCCGTCGAAAGCACAACTTCTTGTTATTTCTGGCCATAGATCGATTCCCAAGGCAATGTCGGTCGAAGGTGGAAGCATTGGAAAAAGATCTATTGACAGAAAGGATGAATCTTCATCAAGCAACGGAAATCTCAGTGGTCATTGTTTAGAGGGCGTGTATTATTCTCGAAATTATTCTCGAACTCTATATTTTCAAACTTAAATTGTAATGGGTACAAGAATTTATATCAAGATTTGGATTGATGTAAATAGATAAGGATTAAATTCACCTATGACCGCCAAACTTTATATTTAGTAACGTCATGTTCGTTCAATTTCATTTGGTTTCACCACAATCACCCTACTTAGTATGAGTTTTATTTCGGTATGATCGTCCAATTTCATATAACGTTTCACTATGGTCACCCAATTTCATATAATATTTCATCATGACCACCTAACTTCTTCTCATCTTTTCAGTGATTTTGAAAAATGGCAAAATATTAACTTTGCATTATATATAGAATAAATAAATAAATAAAAACTTATTTTTAAAAAAATAAAATAAAAACATATTTTTAGAAAAACCTTTTAAAATAAAATAAAAACTTATTAAAGGATGTTACTTAGAAAAATAAAATAAAATAAATTGTTATGTAAAAAAAAGTTCCTTAAAAAAATTAAATTAAATTAAAACTTTAAAAAAAACTTGTTACTTAGAAAAATAAAATAAAAAAAAAACTTATTTAAAAAAGTTTTTAAAATAAAAAAAACTTTTATTTTTATAAATTTATTTATCCATTTTAAAATTACTGAAAATTGTGAAAAGAAGTTGGGTGACCATGGTTACACTAAGGGCTTGTTCAGTAGTGACTATGTGAATTTATTTTTTTACCGTTAGAGAGAAAAGTAAGTCTCATCTGTGAGTGAAGAAGTTAAAAATGACGGTTGGAATAGTGCAATAACGATCACAAATTTTTTTAGGGGGGTGAAAAATTACTACCAAATGGAGAGCCAAATATAAAGTTGGGTAGCCATAGTGAAACAAAATTGAATTGAGTGATCATGATGACCCTAGTATAAAATTGAGTGGACATTGGTGGATTTAACTCAAATAAATAATGAAAGAAATGTTGGGTAAAATCCCATAAGTGTACGGGATTGTTGGGAAGTAATAGGTGACTAATAACGTGTATCATCCCACAAGGAGTAAAATTTAACAAAATGTACTAGTCTTTAATTAGATTCAAAGTAAGGAAACAAAAGTGATTTGTAGTTTTTAATTATTCTAACTTAATCTATGAAAATTTGCAAAATTCGAATTCAATGTGTATATGGAATGAAGTTATTGGATTACGAATTCACCTATTATTATATATTTCAATTCTCAATTATGTAGCTAGTTTTGTTCATGTATTCTCAACAATCGATAATTCTATTGTAAATAATTTTATTTTTCAAAATAAATTAAATCTATAATAGTCACGACCTAAATCTATTCTTAGTTCGAATTTGAATGAATAGAACGCATTCAATTTCACTACTATCTCAAAGACTGCACATATGATAAATATTATTCCTAACATTTATTGAACATATATTTATCAAGCATTATTTTACACCTATTGTGAGTCTTCCAGCACTACAATAAGTAATCTTATATTCAATTGGTGATCAAGCAATCAAATAATAAAATTAGGCTTGTAAGATTAATCAAGAGTTACAAGAATTTAACTAAAATACTTGTCTTAAATTAAAACTAAATAATAAAATGTTTCTTCTTCATGATGAAAAGAACTAGTCTAGCATGTTATTTAATAAATCACACAAAAATATTTGGAAAAACATCACTCGCAATTGAAAACAATGATTGGGAAGTGAAAAATTAATTTCTTCTCCGTTAATCTTCAATCCAGACGTTGAATCTTCAATTTCTTGTGTTGACTGTCTTTGAATTGCATGCTAGCCTCCTTCTTGTGGTAAAAAATATGTATAATGATGTGGCTCTCTCATTCTCGCTCTATCTTTTTTTTCTTTTTTATGACAGAGGAACCTGCAGTCGTTACCTTACAGGTGCGCACTGGATAAACCCTCGAGCTGACGTAATAGCCTACAAATCATGCCAGCAAGGTAAACCGCACTAGGTAAGCCCGATGCGACAAATTCGACCGAGAATATGTTGGGAGGGAGAATCCAACTCGTGACCAAAAGCCTCCGCACTCATCTACTCCATTAACTCGGCCACCCCATGAGGGGCCATTCTCACCCTATCTTGTAGGTTAAATAGTAGGTTAAAGCCTTATTTGGTCCCGCTTAATTTCAAAAAGTGTATTATGGAATAGTAGATTGATGGAGAACGTATGGTTAAAAAAAAGGATATTTTTTTATTTGCGTGTAATATTATTTTAATAAAGAATGTGTATAAATAATAAGTACTGTAAAAAAAAATAATGACAAAGAATGAGAAAAAATGGATGACAAACAGGGGCTAAATTTGGTTTTCATAAGAGTTTAAGTCAAAAATGACGCTTGAACGTTTCCCCCGTGTGTGCACCATACATTTCACTACACACGCTAGATGTTGACATTACTCTCGATAAATGCACACCCGGGTCTAGCGCGCGCCACTTTAGAATCTTTCGATTGTTGCACTTCGATCCCTCAATTTCGGTATTCATTCATTTTAGCTCTTTTTTATGCTTTCTTGGTCGTTTAGCTTTCAATTCCATCTAAGTGAGTCCACACCTTCTTCAATCATTGATATTGGGTCCGAATCAACAACTAGCACTTTGAATTCAGTCCCTTTTGACCAATTTTTCTCATGATGTCAACTTCAATTGTTTTTCATCGAGGTGCATGTAAAAAATGAAATATATGCAAAATTAAGCCTCAATTCATTTAAAATAATAATAATTGCTTTAGTTTAATGACTGAAATGTAAAATATACACTTATCAAGAAACAACAACATTCATAAATATAATAAATGTTTGTAACATAAACTAATATAATTCTACCTGATATATTAATTTATTAATTCAAAAGTTGACATATAGATATGCTTTAAATAGAGTGTGTGAATTAGATATTTAAGATTTTACGGCTCAATATGAAATATTTCAAAACGAATTTCAAGCATGCAATTCCTTTGGCTTCTAAGTGGTCTCTCTCAAACGACCCAATAGTAATAAATTATCTTAGACAACATAAACTGAAGATGAAACTCAACTCTACAGGTAGTGTTACGCCCCTATCCGAACCATTTCGAAAAGTCTACCACCGCGTTATAAAAGGTGTTCAATACTCATCTGAAGTGGCTTCGAAGTGACGCCACCATCAATGTTGTCGATCTGCTAACACACTGCGAGGCACAGACAATCTACTGAACCGATCGAAGCGTCCTAGCCCCTGAAGTCGAGGTGCAGTACATTCCGATGTTCTCTGTCAGAGGATCCGCCGCCAATTTCAGAAAGAGATCTGTGTCAAGATCCTTTCTGCCCCAAAGGTTTAATTGATTTAACGTCTCCACGAGCCTAGTTGATGTGGTGTATCAACTTTATGTCAACTCAACTCGAGAGAAGTTATTACCCGTCCACTCTATAGACGCGGCTGATTGACTCCTATGATTGCCTCACACCGTCAGATGCATACACGTGTCCTACATCTAACGATTCTCCTCAACTATAAATACCCAAGATTTGACAAGAGGTAAAGGTAATGAAACTCTTACAACTTAGCTCTCCATAACAAGTAAATGTATATTCTTCTCCCCACCCTTTTGCATAACCTTGGTAATGTTCCGATCACCTGGGGCTAACTTGACCGTCGGAGTGTATGCGGCCGTCGTCGCCCCCACTGGTCCCGACCGTGTGAATCTGACCGTGTGTTGATTGTGCGCAGGGAGAATACGTGGAGTTGCTATCGGTTGGTCACGTGGAGGGTCCAATTTGCGAGGTTAACAGATTGGCGCTGTTTATGGAAAACTTCCCGTCCAAAGTTCTGCATTCTCCATCGGAGAAACCACCGAAAAACTAGTGACTTACCCTGAAAAGAGCACATTCTTGAAAAAGAGCAAAGTCGAGTTATAATCTAAGTTCTTATCACCCTTGAAAAAGGAGATAAGATGAGTTCCAGCCATGAAAATGAGAACCCTATGAGAGAGGCCTCTGAAGAAGAGGTGCTTCGTAACAATGTCACTCGCCAGAGACCCCACCACCGGCGTCGTCGAGGTGAAAGAACAGACATGCTCACTGAAGGAATGGTTCAAATAGCTGCGGGCATGAGAGATAACGCAACCCAGAATATGGCGATACATGAACTTCTCATGAAAGCCCGAGGTCACCAATGCTCTCAAATGCCCCAAGGATCTTACCCAGTTCAGGAAG